ACCTCCCCCCCCCTGCCAGGCATGCCAGGACACGCACGTGCAAAGAGCGGTGCCGACGATAACGTCTCATTATTTTCCTGGAGAAGATGAGTTGCAGGACAGCTGCAAGACTTCACAAGTTGCAGCTTGGATGCTGCTGCCTGAAGCTTAGATTGATTCCCATACAGACATGAATATACCTCTCCAGTCATTCTCAGATAATCCTCCTCAATGATGTCTATTTTTCTCCCAGACTTCATCTATTTCAGAGTCAATATGCCTTCTCCTGCAAGCAGTTTCACCTAGGTAGCTGGACACCAAGGGCAATTTAGGAGATTTTGTGGCAGAATATTTGAAAAACACAGTGAAATGAGAATGGAAATATGCAAAGAGAAATATCACCCTGCTTAGCACCTCTGACTCAGAGGCACAAAAACCCAAATCCTCTCCCTTTTCAACTCATTTCCAGAATTTATATCACATGAGAACAGATTTGCTCTTGAAGGTCTTTCTTCCATTCCATTTCCAAGAGTTTTCACTAAAATCCATCACAAGGATGGATTAGAAATCCTATTTAATGACTGAAAACCAAACAGATCTCAGGAGCCTTTCCTTCAGCTAACAAGTTGACCATGCACTTGGGAGGCTCAGCGTAATATACATTACGCTGCTAGGGCAATCCTCAGGGTCTCTAGACTAAATCATATGATAATTATAGCAGTCTAGCAGATAGGAAATATTTCCTTTCTCCCTAACTGCTTCCCCTTTGCTTCCAGGGCCCCTCTGCAGCATCTTGGTGAAGCGATTTGGCTGCAGGTTTGCCGTGATGCTAGGAGGCCTGCTCAGTGGCGTGGGCATGGTGTCCAGCTCCTTCTGCAAGTCCATCAGCCAGCTGTACTTAACAGCTGGCCTCATCACTGGTAAGTGCCAAAGAACAGCAGGAAAACCCAGCTGCTGTGCTTGACTTGAGAGACAGGGAATGGCGAGAAACCCGACTAAGTGCTCACGTTTTTCCATTCATCTGTGAAATAGGATAAATCA